CAGCTGCCCTGAGACTGATGTTTCTGACAGAGATGTCTAGAAACTGGCCCTCACTCTTGGCATATTTTGTTGGTATAATATAACATAAACATGTTTCAATACATGCTGCAATGCAGATAAAGTCACCACATTAGCAGCGGGACTAAATAAAAACTTGTGGTCACTGTACTTTCGTCCCGACAGGAACTCCTGACTCCTGATAAACCGGAGACTACCGCGGGAAACGATGACGAAATCACCTGATATTTGGCAGCTTTATCAAGGGTTGCGTGCTGAAGGTGCTGTCACAGCTTGGACTGCAAATGCAATAAGGGCTCTGAGAAAATCGCCTTGTTACTTTTGTCCCGTGTTACTTTCACCCCGGTTAACTCCTACAGGATGTTTTACTTCTGGTAAAATAAATAATGGCATAACAGCATCAATTACAGTAAAAGGTTTTCACACCGTAGATTTAGCTATGTACAATGTCAAACTATATAATAAGTAGCTTATATACCAGAAATGCAGATACTTTGGGTTCTTTATGTACACTAACACTGATATGTCTTTTTCATAACTACATCACCACATTTTGTAAAAGAGTAACATTCAGTCAAACAAGGATAATCACACAAATAGATTAGATACAAGGTAAAGATAACGTTAGGTGTAAAGTATAGTAGTATAACAATAAACCAAGGTTGTGAATAACTAAACCGCCGCAGTCTACACGAATGGAACGAATGGCTGTGTTTCCTGCAGCGCTGAGAGGACTACAGACAGCCGGTTGTTATACTCTCTTTTTCAGAGCACCTAACTTTTTAATATGCAGTGGTGTATAAAGACAGTTTCAATAAATATGACAAGTGTTTTAGAAACAACTTGCCTACCTTCCTTTAAATAGTAATATCAGCATTGACCTCCAAAATAGGTCGCTTAATTGCTATTAAGCAAGTTTAAGTCTCTCTCTTAACTAACTAACAAACTAACTAACAAATTGTGAAGAAAAATACATCCTAACTTATGTTTCACTGTGACTTTAAGTTTTGCCATCTTTATAGTAGTTAATAATAACAAAGACGCATATTAGAAGTAGCCGGCGCCTAGTGGTGACTGGTGGAACTGCATCCTCCTATACTTCCACATCGGCTTCAGCTTTCAGCAGAAGGTGCAGGCTGTTTGAACCACTAGCTCATGTTCCAGCGCTCTAGTGAGGTATTAATATTTCAACATAAACAGATCCCTGTATGTGTAAAATACCTGAAAATGGGAGTATTTGCATAAAAGATGCACGGACAGAAACTTGTTTCTTGAGGGAGGAAACCAAGTGTCCCACGCTTCTGTACTGGAGCCCTCTGGTAACTACTCAAACTCACTACTGCTGAAAAAAAAAACAAGAAATACTGCACAACTGCTCAAATATGAAAAGTACAAAATATGATATTATTAGGTTTTACTCTACGACTTGGTCTGACTTATTGCTGGTAATGCACATTATACCATCTGTCACATGCAAGCTGTCAGGAAAGCCACTTAAAGTCTCAGCCCTTCCTCTGCGCAGAAAGTGTGTGTGTGTGTTTGCTGCTTTATGTCAACTGTTTATTTCCTTGTATCTTGTTCAACATAAACATCTAAGTGCCTCATTCTTTCCTCTCTCTCACTGTCAACATTTAAACATACAGTGGGAGGATTTTCTCCTCTCAACAACGGAAGCTTGTGGCTTAAGATATAATCACATATCTGGTTCCTGTTTCTTAAAAAGGCAAAACGTCACTTACTTCTTTTGAAAATAAAATGTGATGTTATATTTTTTTATATCTAACACACTTTTAACAGAAAAAAGCATTTTTTGGCGAGTAACTAGACAAAGCAACTTTTTAAAAAGAGCAATGAAGTAAGTTGCTTTTTATTATTATTTTATTATTTTCCAACTCTGGGTCATCTGTGTACTTTTTTGAATAAAAACCTTGAAATCACTTTAAATCTGAAACATTAACTGTATGTTAAACTTCAGTGTTTGCCATAGTCAAAAGTAACACTCAAGAAAAGTTGCCGGTAGTTTAGAAATACATTTTTGATGATATGTCGACACTCTTTCCTGTCATCAGTTGCTTCATCCAAAAAATAACTAAACAACACAAAAAAAAAAGTTAGCTGAACAATGAAGCAGAGTTTTCATTTGTGTCTCAGGCCGCATAACAAAGACTGGGTCCAAACAAAAAAGGGAACAGAACAAGTAAAAGGCTCATTTCTGTCTTAGGATTTAGGAATAGAGAAAAAGCTTTTGTGCAATGTGTGAAAATCAAACAATTACCTCAGGTTATTTTTGTGGCTGCTCTTTAAAGCTGCTGTTTTCTGAGCTAAAATCCTGATTCAGTGTGGACGTCAGTGGGAGGCTGCTGAGGTCTTACTGTACTCGCTAATTTGACTTTATAATTACGTTTTGAATCTTTGTAACTTTCAACTTAAAATTACATTCATTCCATTACATGTTGTGCTTCTTCCTGCTGTTTGCACACGTGTGTGCCATCTTTAAAGGCCATAGTTTTTATGCAGTACTTGCGATTGCCTTTCTTTTTTTTCTTTATTCTTAGTTTGTCTAATAATATGTTTAATCCTGCATTGTTTACTTCTTCTTTTCTGTTTTTACTGGCACATTGCTAAACTTCTTACCACATCCAACTGTCAGTTTGTGTCAGACTGCTAAACAGTGCTGCATCGAACTTCATCAAAGTGTCTTTAACGTCTTTAACTTCAGAAGTCCAGTGGCTTGTTTTGTTCATAAACGGAAAAAACATCATCCATTTTCCTTTGGTGAGGTATATTTGAGACTTTTATAATTCGAGCAAACTGCAGACATTGTCCGAATTCATCAAAGCCAAAAACAGAGGAAAAAGTGAATATAAAAAAAAAGGTACCAAGGTCTTTTCCCCACTAACAGTCTCGGTTGTGTCTGCAGTGACAACTTGTGAAAGTTGTAAAAAAAAAATACATACTCCGTTGTAGTTCTTTGCAAAATGTCTAGAAATTTACACTACATATCTTTAAAATCCATTTTCTCAAAATTATTTTTTTGAAACCTCCCCTCCAATTTTATTCTCTATATTCTAAAGCTTTTTACACAGGTGGTTGTTTATGTATCATCATAGCCTAATTTGTATAACATTTTGTTCTTAAAAATATGGTGAAATTTTATTCGTTATGACTGAGAGTATTTTCAGATTTATTGAGTGATAAAAACAGATATCCAAAATTCCCTTTATAAAACTTTTTACTATAATATGTCACTAAAATGAAAGAAGAGTTTGGACCTTTATTTTTATTTAGATAATACCTAATTTGCACATACATATAAACAAAATATTTCAGAAACTAATCAACTGGGGAACTTTCAAGGGCCTTATTCTCCTGTAATGTCTGGCCTGAGTAGTTTTTACAATGTAGTATTGGTACTTCTTTCTAAGTAAAGGAACTGAGTACTCCCTCCACTTCTGCATGTATCTGTGTTCTGGAGGCTCACATAATGCACATTGTGTGGAAACAAATTACCCCTTTTAGGCAATAAAATCTATATCATCTAAAAAAGACAAATTTAATTAAAATGAGAGAAGTGAAAGTACTCACTGAGAATGAAGAACAAGATAAAAGTGTGACACACTTTCATGTTGAGGCTGTTTACCGCTGCCTCTCTTTCTTCTGCTGTGGGAAACTTCTAACTTCTGAAGATTCACTTCTCTAAGTGAAAAACAACACACACTCCAGTGTACAGTATGTATGGTTGTACGTTAAAGGTGTGCCTGGTTGTAACTTAGGTCTAGTCCAGAATAGTATTGTTTGTTCTATGACTGGGAGCATCTTTGATCCTTGTTTCCATGGGACATTAGTACAAAGTTCAGACTGTTGCTTCAAATAAAGGCAGAATTTATGAAACCAGTTGTGACACTTATCTGGCTCTTTTACCTTTTTTCTAAGTGTTCTATTTCTATGACGCAGCAGGTAGCTGGAGGAAGAGGGTCTGTTGATTCCTCTGCTGAAAAACCTGTCCTTTCCTCAGAGGGGAGCTCGTCTCTTCCACACATCTTTGCTTGATTAATTCAACACCACACACGCACACATCCTCACTACTTACTGTACTGACTACTACATCTCATGTTATTGTGTTTATATTGTGTTTACATTATGCTCTTAGTTCAAATAAAGTGCTTATTTATTTGCCCTCAACCCGCAGCTTTAGAGCCAGGTCTCACCATAATATCTAACCAAAGAAAGACTTCTTTAGAAATACATAGTGGTTGTTGCCAACTGCATAAATACATTTTCATGAGCAGGACTAAAATTCCAAGGTTTATTGCCTGTATGATTACTGTGCCACAGCCGTGTCTGAAAGTGTCTTGACAGATTACTGACCGGCTACAGTCTGGTGACACATCACACCTGTTCACAGACGTCACACATGGGAAATAATGTTTCACATTTATTCATTAGTTTCTATTTAGGTGTCACTTTAAATATGTGTTACTTGATCCTTTATTAGTCAAAATAGTGAACCCTAATTTGACCCTAAAAACCTTACTCCTACGCTAACCTGCTAACTTTATATAAAATAATTCAGCCAACTTACTGTAATGGTAATGCTAACTTAAACATTCATTATTTGTCTTAGTCATAACCAAGAAAACGGATAATAATTCTTTAACATATATAAATAACTTAATAAAAAATACAGAAGTAGTGAAAGTAGCTCTAACCTGAAGCGTGCTGTTGAGGCAGCAGATTGGAGGTTATGTTACTGAGGACAGAACTACTCTTACAACTGTTCTTACTTTAAAAAGTCAGACACAAAAAAGATATTTGTGTGAATATGTTTCAGCTTATTTACACAGTTACGTATTCAAACTGTTGGCCTCAGAGAGTAAATGTGGAGCTAAGTAACAGTAGAGTACACAGGAGAATCATCTTCCAGATGGCCAGCATCAGAGCTCGCCTCCACCCGAGGAACAGAGTAGACGACATTATCATCGTCACCACGGAGGGGCTCTGTTGGACTGTTTGGAAAAATTCACCTCAGAGTAGGTGAGTTTACTCGAGTGGTCTTCAGCCTGGAAAAAGAAAACATGTAAAGAATCAGATGTAGCTTTGCTCCTGGTTGCACCTCAGCTCCATCTGCGTGAGCTGAGGTAGCAGGTGCTTTGTTGATACTTTACTCTGTTTAATTACTGTTCTGCCTCACACTGTATCTGTATTTCCTGCAGTGGTGGATGTTTTGATGAACTGGGTGAATGTTCATTCTGTGCCACACTTCAGAGTCTGTTGGTGTGTTTTAACTGCACTAATGACTCAATTACTGCCTGCTCTGATTATTAAAATGTCATGTAAACACCTTAACAAGCTTAGCAAGGCAGTAAATTAAACGGGATTACTAATTCATTGATAAGGATGCTCAGTGGTTTCAGCATCTGCAACAAGATGCTGCAGATGTTTTACCAGTCTGTGGTGGCCCTGTCTTTTATAATGCCTTGTGTGAGGGCCAGACCGTGATGCTAACATGCTCATTAAACTATTTAAGAAGATATACTTTATTTATTAATTATTTTAAACTCATTGTTTTTTCACTCTGTTACTATGTTAGTATACACACATGCACCACCACGACCCATAGCAACACACGGAGAGATGTGTTGCTATGGGTCGCCCCGAGGAGTTGGGGGTTCAGGACCTTGCTCAAGGCCTCCTTCGGCAGTGCCCAGGAGGTGAACTGGCACCTCTCTAGCTACCAGTCCACGCTCCACAACTCTGGTTCGAGCTGGATTCGACCCTCCGGTTCCCAGCCTAATCCTTACAGACTGAGAGTAGCTCAGTCAGAAGCTCAGTCCAAAGGCTGGCGCAGTGAGCTGGACTCTCTGGGTCCATGTTAGTTAGCCTGCTGAACAATGTCTCCTGGCCCCTCCCCCACATCCTGGTTGAGAAGCCAAACACTGGACACAGGAGAGCCTTTCTGCCTGTGGCCATCACAGCGCTTTACGCCAGTGCAGTGTGGACGTCAAAGGACTGGGGGGCGGCTGAGGTCTTACTGGATTTGCAAATTGCACTTTATAATAACATTTTCCATAACTTCTGGCACAGTGCAATATATTTATTTCTTTTAAGTTATACATTCATTTTGCAGATTGTACTACAGATCGCGCAGGAGCATGTTCCGTGACTAAAACACCTAGTCTGTAGGTTGTATATTGTGAACATTTGTTTTTATTATTTGTTCTCTGATTGTTTGTACAGTCTGTCTGATAAATGACTCTTGATTTCTATCAAACAAGCAGTTTGAAAAAACATGTCGCATGCATTTCCTTCCTCATGAAGCATTTGCAAGGCTACTTTTTAAAATATTTTTAAACCTGCTTTGTTCACATCCATGTGTAGCCTACTAGCCAGCAGACTTTTGCTTTCTGTCTTTGCACATTGCTACAATTCCTGGGAGGTTTCTGAGCCCAAAGCTAAAATCCTATAAATTTTTCCTTACTGTATTTTGAAATCTGGATGCAGAGACAGAGCTGTAGTCATCAGTGGATTCAGGAGTTTTTTGTTTGGTATATTTGGCGAGAGTGTAAACTGAAGAGATTTCCACAGGAGCAGATCTGCTGTGTCTGTCCTCTCTGATGTTCTCGTACACTTGGTTGGTCTACAGGAGGAGAAGGTTTGGTTTGAATTAATATGAGCTAGTTTCACAAAAAAAATAATGAAAACTCAGATGTTCATCAGACTCACCTCTGTGACAGAAGTGTACTCTGTTTCCACTGGAGCTCCTGAAAAACAGTGGATTCATTAAACGAAAGTTCACTACACTGATGAAACATCTGTCTTAATAAAATCAACAGATAATAAGATAATATGTTATGTAGCCTAAGAAAAGTGGGTGTTGTTACATGGCACAGTGAGCATCAAGCTAGCACCCAGTGCCCTCTGTGACATAAAATGAGCAGCAGTTAGGTTCCTAGGTTGCAATGTCATTATTCTGGTTGTTTTTTCAACCAGTTCTCACTCCCCCACTCGACACATATGGCTGCATGGTCAAGACCCATTTTCCCTTTTCCTAACCATAACCAATTTGTTTCATTGCCTAAACCTACTCAAATACTTTTTGTGCCTGAACCTAACCAAATTCCAGCATTTCACGATTAAATAAAGTTTCAAAACACTAACGTTTTATTTTGATTACGTACAACTTATTTATCGTTGCTAACTTTACCGGACGTTGTATATTTGTTGTTGCTAACCTCACTGCGAAGCCCTAAACGTCTAAAAATGACACTAAAGGGGGACCCAAGGTGTTAAAAAGCGATGCCAAAGGGCCTTGACCAAGCGTCAATATGTGACGAGTCGGGAGTGAGATTGTCAGTCCTCCTAAGCTTCAATTTTGTTCGTTGTGCGTCTCTGCTTTTCGTGCATTTACAGCATTTCTGTTCAAGTAAATTTGCATGGAAAGAGACAAACTGTTACATTTTCTATGAAAATGGGAAGTTTCAGTTTGGTTGACTACCAGTCTGTGTGTGTTTCCTCTTGCCTCACCCTTGGGTTTAGAAGACCTCTTCCTGCAGTATATCACCACAGCCAGTAATAAAAGGACAATCATTACGGCCAGAGTCAGACCGACAGGCAGCCACACATCTGTAGTAGATTGAGGAGAAGAAGTTTACATTGACACACACTCCTTAATGTCATGTACAGAACTCTCACTGAAATGAGTTTGAATGTGAGTTTCTATTTGAGTTGGACAAACTTTACAATGTCTATGGAAAATACAAATTTCTGATTGGCTAGCAGTCATCCAACAGGACACTTCCAACATAGTTCCAGACAATAACTTAGCCACTGTTCTAAATTAATACTTAAGGTATATTTAACTGCATGCAACCAACCAACAGTTATGCTCACTCTCAATCTTTAAAGGAAAAAATTTGACTGATTGGAAAATACACTTTTTTCACTATCGTGCTGTGAGTTAGATGAAAAGATGATAACAGTCTGATGTCTGTATGGCAGTGTTAAATATGAAAGTGCAGCTAGCAGCCACTTAGTTTAGCTAAGCACAATGACTGAAAGTAGAAGAAAACAGCTAGCCTGACTTTGTGCAAAAGTATCAGGTATATTTAAAGCTTAGGCCCTATTATGTATTTATATATCTCAAATGTTAAATCTGTACAAAAATGAAATGAATAGGCTAACCGGCAGCTAGCTGTGACTTCATATTTATTAAACAGATATGAGTGGTATCTTTTCATTTTACTTCTGGCAAGAAGTTTTGGATTTGTTTCCAAAAATGTCATATTTTTCCTTTAAAGGAGCTATATGTAGTTTTTTAACTGACGCTAATCACTTTCTTATTGCCTGTGGGTGAAGGGGTTGTATTGTCACATAAAAATAATCCACTCGCTGGGTTTTTCTGTTAACTCTGATGGCCAGTGTACCTAATACCATGTGAAGGGTTAGGTTAGCATGGATCTGCAGCTGTTTGCTTCGTCACGTTCAATATAGATATATTGCCTTTTTACCGATACTCAGGTACCAACACATTCTTCATTTGTCTCAGTCGCTTTAACTTCCATGACCCACATAATATACAATAATACAACATAGCAGCGCAGAACAACACAGTTGAAGACCCATTCACTAGAGTAATGTTACTTACTGCGGCCTAACTGTTATATAGTGTGGTGACGATCTAATTTATAATATTCAGTCCAGCTCACTAACCGTTGTGTTATCATCATATATTTAGCTCTGCTGATATTGCTGACCCTCTGGTGAAAGAGAAATAGTTATTGGCAGGCGAGCTAATGCCGACATATCATGTTGGCTAAATGCAGTCAGTGTGGCGTCATCATGTAACGAGCATGGAGTAGTTAAAATTCAAGTTGATAAATTATTACTGTCACGTTGCAGTGGGAGTTTATGTGAGTTTCCAGAATGTTGTGTGAAGCTGTCTGTGTTTCAGTCTCTGTGTCAGATTCTGCTCGCTTATGAATTTGAGCAGGTGTACGAGCACACACCTGGTTTTAATCTAAAACCCGCACCGCTAGTGGCCGCTGAAAACTACATTTAGCCCCTTTAAGAAATAAATGACCATTCAAACACAGCTTCTGTGGTAAATAAATGGCCAAAGCATCAGTGTGTTAACACACTCCAAGGTGTCTGGATATACAAAACAAATTAATTTTTGAATATCATTCTTAAGTTGATTCTGGAGCACAATGTCTGCAATTAGAGACAGCAAAACAATATTATTGTACATTCTTGTAAGGCAGAAAATGCTTCAGTATGTTAGACCCACAGTCTGTATATAAAGATGCACACATACACACACATCCCTTCTATTTCACCAGCTTTCATTCCAAACTTTTCTCATAGAGGAGTCTCTGTTTAGTTTTTCTGAAAAGCTAAAAGTTTAACATGCACAAGTTCTCACTCAGCTGTGATTGGAGCATTGAGAGGAAAAGACAGGACTCATGATTGGTCCATTGCACAAATCTGGAATAATAACTGGAGTGTGATGCATAAATCTGGATTAAGCTGCCATGTCATTTGTGTTTGATGGAGCTATATCTGGCAATAATGGATAAACAAGCACTTTAATAAACTCATGTACTTGCATAAAAACATGCTAATCTATTGTACATACACACATTCTGGTTTCACAGCTTTGACTGGGACCTTCTCCAAAGCCACTGGCTAAGAAGCTTTGCTAGGTGCTGAAAGGACAATTACATGTCATAGCTTTCAGTCTTAGATTTTCATCAAACAGTGTGTAGATGTACCTTGACGTGATGCTGTCCCAGTCTGCTGCTCGTCAATCTGAGCGTTTAAACTCTGTGTTGTTGTTGTTGGTGTGGAGGCTGATGGGTCTGATGTTGGTTTTAAAGTGGTTGGAGCTGTGAACAACAAAAACATGCAGAAATCCTGATGAGAGAACACAGGCTGTGTCTGCGTGGCCGCTGAACTGTTTTAAGGCAAGGCAAGTGTATTTGTATAGCACATTTCAACAACAAGGCAATTCAAATTGAAATTGAAATTGAAAAAGAAGCACATTAAAATATAATTTTGAAAAGGGTGATATGGAAAATAAAAACAGGATTTAAAAAAAAACAAGGTAAAACAGGACAGTAAAAGTTACAGTGCAGTGTATAATCAAGGTTAAAAGAGTTAAATAGAAAATAAAAACAGGCTGAGGGGTTGAGCAAATAATTGAGTTACAATTATATTTTGTCTTTGAAAAGAGAATAAACAGAGAAGTGTCTACTCTCTCTAGCTTGTCTGTACTCGGGTCCACAGCAATATTTGGCTCCACTGAGTTTGGTCTTGTCTGAGGCTACGCGCTGCAAACCCAACTTATTAGCTGGAAACCCCAAAAAACCTCGGACACTACAGAGAAACCAGGACATGTTTTAAGTGAAGATTTCTCAGAGTTCACAGTGATGGAAATTTAAAACATCAGCAGCTGTCAGTGAAAAAACTTTCTTCAGAGCTGCAGAGACATGAACAAACATTTTCATTCTCAGTTATTTTCATTCCACTTTAAATGTAAACTCACCATCTGTGACAATGATCTCAAACTCCCAGTAGGAATCTGGTGATAAACGTCTGTCCAGACCACACCTGTACCGTCCTGAGTCAGACTCTGTCAGCTGTGTGATGCTCACATACATAGATCCTCCAGTAAGAAATCGTTCTGTATATCTGATGCTGTATCTGCCTCTCTCAGCTGTGAAACCAGTTGTTTCAACAAGAATGTCTTTCTCTTCACATTCTTCCTTGCAGAAGTACTTCCTGCTTCCAAAGAAAATAAAGGAGCATTCAACTACAATATTTCCTCCAGCTCTTGTATAGAGGGATTTGTCTTCAGGAGGACTTCCATCCAGCAGTGCTGTTGAAAAGATGAACAATCAATAGTTACTATCTGTACTTAACATGATGCAGTCTGATCACAATAATTACAGTTTCAAATGTGATCCCCAGTTACACTGGGAGCTGCCCAGTTCTAAATTATTATCACTTGGAACAATAAGTTGAATGTGTGGTACACTAATATTCAAATTAACGTGTGAGTGTGTGTCTTTATCAGCCTGTTGGTGTTAAATGAGAATCAACCAGTGAACAGTGAAGCTTTTCTTCAGACAGGAAAGAAACATTTTTATGACTTTCAGTAGAAACTCACCATCTACAACAATGATTTCAAACCTGATGTTTGATCTGTCCAGACCACAGCTGTACAGTCCTGAGTCAGACTTGGTCAGCTGTGTGATGCTCACGAAAACATTATCTATAAAATATCCTCCTTCATATGTGATGCTGTATCTGCCTCTCTGATCTCTGACACCAGTTGTTTCAATGAGGATGTCCTCTGGTTTACATTCTCTCTTGCAGAAGAACTTCCTGACTCCAGGTGAAGAAAAGCGGCATCTAACTCTGATATCTCCTCCTTCAGTTCCTGTATGGACAGATGGGATCTGGGCATTGGTGAGACCAGTGTTTCCATCCTGCAGAGCTGTTGAAAAGATGAACAACAATAGTTACTGTCTGAACTTCCTGTAAGATGCTGCAGTCTGATCACAACATTTGCTGCTTCACGTCACACTGGGAGCTGCCCAGTTCAACCAGTCTGTGGCTGAGGATCACAGACTGGTACTGCAGGTGAATGTTACTGTTTTGTTTTTCCTGTACTTCTTTTAGCCATCATCCTTTATTCTTCCCTGTATAAATAAAGGTTTCAATAAATCAAATATAAATGATAAAAAGTAACTTATTCCCTCCAGATCATAAAATGTGTATCTTTTTTGTAGTTTTGCTGCTGTAATGTTTTTTTGATATTTTTGTTCTTTTCTCTTTCTTTCTTTCTTCCTTTTTCTCTTTTCATATAACAGTGAGCCATAAAAAAGGACAACTGTTTGAACAATAATGAACCAGGTTTTCATGTCAGTAATAACATTCATTTAGATTTTAATATTAATTTCTACCAAAGTGGAAAACTGTATCAGAGTATACAGCAGAACAGACAGTAACAGAGCTCCAACAAAACACTATGAAATACTGAAAGCATTAAAGCATTAAAAAGGAGAACCAGACAAAATGTGAACATAAATATTGTAGACTAAAACTTTAAGGTAAGATTTTAAGTCACGAACCACAAGAGTTCAGTGAGACTTTCAACATTCTGTAACTCTTTCTTCCCTTTTAATCACAATACAGAACTGACTGACTGTATTTACATCAGAGCTTTAGCAGGATTTGTTAGATGTGTAAACAGTGATCAGTAGGTTATGAAAAATTATTTAATGTGATGTAAATACATTTTTATTTATCCAATTCTTAAATCCATGCATTTTCTTTTGTTCCTGTTTGTGTGATATCTTCATGTAAAATCTACTTCATACAGAAGTTATTTCAAATCTTGTGAAGCTTCAACAAAGTCCACCAACAGTCAGGCTGAAGCAACAGAACACACAAACTCTTTCACCATAAAATACAGCAAAAAGCAACAAAATTGCACTTTTCAATTGATGTCAACTATTTTCATAATCAATCATTTCAGTGATTTCACAGGTCAAAATGTCAAACTGTTGCTGGTTCCAGCTTCTCCGATGTTGGGATTTGACTCTCTTCTAACCTTGTAAGATTATGCCCTTCATTTTCCTTCCTTAGGTGCAGTTTATTTAGAGGAAGTAAAATAAAGAACTTGTATTGGACTAGATTTTAAGCTCAAATGTACATTGGAAGAGCTTCTCAAAGAGATTCCTTATTGAAGCAATTCCAATGCAAGACATGGAGGTAAAATCTCCATTCCACATGAGGACAGACTTGAAAAAATGTGAACATATCCATTAAAGTGACTCATACCGGACTCTGATCATCATATTTAACCATTTAAAGGACTTATGAGAAACTGTGACACTACTGACCAACATAATAATAAGAGAGACAGAAATCCAAAGTGAATACTCACAGAGGAAGAAGAAGCAGATCAAAGTGTGACGGACTTTCATGTTGAGGCTCTGATGGTTTACTGCTGCCGCTCTGACTTCTTCACTGACAAACCAGGAACTTCTAACTTCTTTAAATGATGGAGTCCCTCCTCCAAACACAACACACACACAAACACACCCACACACAACACACACACAATCATCTATATTTCTACTGCAGGGTTTGAGGTTTCCTGCATATTCATGTGTGTTGTAACACAATCCTCAATGTTATCTTTATTGTAGCACTTAACGCTTTTGAATGTCTCTTCGGCGACCGCATGCCTCGTACATCTTCTGTTTCAATCATCAATAAATCATTTAATCATACCTGTTGATTGTGTGGTCTTTGCTAGTGAATTAGTAGTAAAGTACTGCATCATATCATTTGTTGTTGTTTTTTTAAAGCAACTATCAAAGTCAAATAAATGCTGTGGAGTAAAAAGCACAATATTTCCCTCTGAAAGTTAGCGGAGTAAAAGTATAAAATTGAAATACTCAAGTAAAGTACAAGTAAGTAAAAATTTAATTATTTCTACGACAGGGGAATATCAGCAGTAATCAATAAAACAGCCATCCAAACACCCGGATGAGACTGTGAGAACATAAATGTACATTTTGAAAAATCTACTGATTCATCATTGAGCTGTTCTTAGAGTCTCATGGAGGCGATAAAGTCAAGTTTATTCCAAAGACTCCTAAAGGATTTCAATCCAGCTGTGTTTGTGTTGAGACTTTGTTGAGCAATCGTTTATTGATAATAGATTATGGGCATGTTAAAGCTCCCTCCAGGGCTGTTTTAATTTTGCTCTGAGTTAATAATCTACAAACTGATGAAGGAACAAAGGATCTGGGACAGTAGGCCTAGGCACTACAGAGAGTCCAGTCCAGACTGAGTGGCTTTACAATGGCATCAATAATTTCATCCTTGAGAAAATAGAACAGGTATGCAACAATCTAATGACTATTTCAGCATTACAGTATTGTTAAAATACGTAACTTTGCACTGGTATATCCAAAACTGTACTATTATGAAGGCATTTGTACTTGTTCTATACATTTTATCATTAAGGTTTCAAAACATCTTACCGAAGGACTGCAGTTGAAAATTAGTCAGCAGGCTAACACTGGCTCATTTACTGTAATGCTGATTAATGTGTGTTGTCCTTATAAATAAATACCGTTAAACTTCAATTAATAGATGTTACTTTGAAATAAAAGCACATAAGCTGTCTGTCGGTGCCAGATCAAATGAATGATGTGTATTTGACATTTTATATTAGATTTTTTTTACAAGTGTTACAATTCTGTTTGAAATTAATAAACTGTTTCATAGTAGTTTCAGTTTTGTGCAAAAGGAATTAAAGGCTTGTCCCAAATATAGGCAGGGTCACTTCAGTGCACTGTTCCTCTTTAAATGCAGTTTTACTTCAGATGTTCACTGATGTCATTTGGTCCACGTGGGGACATTAAAATAAATATTTATTTAAGCGGAAAGTCTCTTGATATCCAATCTATTTGGATTGACAGATACCTGGGCAAAGTGGAAAGATTGGGTGGTCTCTGTTTTTTCAGTTATCTGTGGACAACTTGATTCATGACAGCTCATTCTTTATTTTGTTGATAATCCACATCGGCCTTTATTCATCTGTTAAAACACACAAAGTATACACAGGACAAGATAAATACATGAACATTAATTAATGAAAAGAAAATAAGAGATATAAACTAAAACACATTGTCATGCACTAGAAAAGATAGCTGCCCAGCATGATATTGCATTACTAGAAGAATTATCATTTCATTGATATTACATGGTAAATCATTTTTTGAGTAAAATAATAAATATAATGTATATATAACATTGGCCTGGTGCTGGCTGCTCACACTTCATCATCTATTTCTAAACTAATGTTTCACACATTTGTTTCTGTAGGGGAGCAGAAAAGAAGGCACCGGGAGCGTATAAACATCTCATCCTTTGGATTTAGCCAGAAAAGCGATCCTGAGCCCTTTACATCTGTCCACAGGCTGTTATAGCGAAACCAAGACAGTCGGGGAAGGTCTAATTTTTTAAGTTCCACCACTAACGTGTAGGTCTAAGTGCTTTTTTCAGTTTTAAAACCTGCTAAAGATCATGTGGACTGGTTCTTGGTGAGAAAGTGTTAATCTACCTGAATACCTGAGTATATGGCAGAGTTGCAGTGCTCAGTGAGACACAAACAGCATCATTTGTGTTGTGTGTGTGTGAGTGTAGCGTAGGTCTGGTTCTGATCCCTGCTGGCTGGATCGAGGCTCTCGTAGGTGGATTCAGATGTAGAAGCTGGAGGACAGTTCTCATAGAGGGCAATCTGAAAACAAAAAACACAAACTATTTGACAGATAGAGAATGACCTACCGTGAAAGGCCATCACCACCCTTAACTCCAACTAAGGGTGGTGATGGAGCAGTGGATAAGATGGCTTCCTTTGGTGTGAGAAACATGGGTTCAATCCCCCCAGTAACATATCTACTAATGTGACCCTGAGCAACACACTTACCCCCTAGTTACTCCAGAGACGTGGAATCTCGGATATAATTAGGAATTGTAAGTTGCTTTGGATAAAAAGCGTCAGATAAATGTAATGTACATTTCTGGAGGTGAGAGCAGGAGGCAGGAAACGAAAACCAACACATAACGAGTTTGTGCATGAGGGTGGAGAAAGAAGCTCTCTGCTAAGCTATATTTGTGAAAAAGAGGATTATGCTGCAGAAGTGATTTGGTTTCTGTTGACATTTTGATTATTTTACCCACTGTGAAACCCGTCACTACTCGAGTCCACAAACTTTCTACAGCAAGGTTTAAAGTCTCTGGTGGGTCTGTTAATAAGTTTGATGGTTTTAGGTAACTTACAAAACATTGACGTCCTACTGTTAGTTGGAATAGAATAAAATAGTTGGAAAAGAAACAGTCCATTCGTGGTTGTACAGCAGTGTAACAGAGTGGAAGCTCTTTACGCACAAATGATCTTTGGCTGTACAGACACAGACCTGATGGAGAAAAGTTTCATTTTTGGCCCTTACAGAAGTAACGTTAATCAGCCAATGTTTGCCATTTTAAGAGGTGAACCTGGCAGTAACATGTAAGATTAAAGATTCAATACCAGATTTGTTAGGGTCAGAGTGAATCTGAGTATTTTCCCAACCTTGATGTCAGGACTCAGGATCCACTCACTGTGTGCCCAAAGATGTTTACGTTAACTCTGTTGTCGCAGAGAGAGTTAGGACAGTGTCAGAGTGGGCCTTTTGCTTTTGAAATGAACCCCACATACACCTCCACACCCTTATTCTCTCTTCAGTGGAATTCAATTGAACTGGACTACACCTACACACACCTACACACTCATCCCTCTCACACCAGAACTCAAATGGCCTTAACTGCCTGATTTCCCCTTAACCCCACACATCCACACATGCCACTCACCCCCCTCCTCCTCAAGTTGGAGGACTAGTCTGTTTCCTTATCATTTCAATTGTGGACATTTAA